TCTACCATCGCTGGGTAGATGGCTAGCCCAGAACCATGGCCTAGCCGACCGGCGCTCAAACCCGACCGAAAAATGCAAAGTTCTCCAAAGTAAAAACTAAGTATTTAAAACACTTATTTAATGTATTGTGATGTCAAAACAAGCTTTGTAAGTTGAAAACCACGTCGTTAAGGTAAAAACCATGGTTGACCAAGTCAACACCGTACACGGGTGGTTTTCACCAAAAGACAAAACCGGAAGGTGGTTTTCATGATGTTTTGATGGGAGAACCATTTAAATGCATTCAAAAACAATTCCCACAAAAAAAGACTCGAAAACCACTTCATTTAAGTGAAAACCACGGCTAGCCAAGTTTATGCCGTTTCGCGTGGTTTTTATCAAACGACAAAAAACGAAAGGTGGTTTTTGAAGTGTTTTTGATGGAAAACTATTTAAATTTGCCCAGAAGTAAAAAAAAATCATAAAAAGTTGAAAACCACTTGGTTAGTTCGGACGCCAAAAACCAACGCCGAAAACCGAATGCCGAACGCCGGTTTCTGAAACCGAACGCCGGATGGCTTGATTTTTGGTTTGGGCGAACACCAAGTGTTTTTAATGTTTTAAACATGTTTGAAAAACATTTTTATGATGTGTGAAATGCAATGAAAAGAATTTTAGCCTAAAGATCCAAGGTGTAAAGGTTGGGTCGGTCTTGATCACAATTATGACCGACTCAACAACACTAAGACTACGGTCTTCGTTCTTGGTCTTCTTTTGGGTCTTGTTCTCTTGCTTTCTTCTTATATTTATTTCTCGCCTTGTATATTCAATAACTTGTCTCGTTCACGGTGGTTTGTCATTATCAAAACCTGTCATAAAAACGAACACGGCTTTAGTACGAAAACACGATAAACCCGTGTTTCAACAGAAGATGCTTTTGTTTCAGATACAGAAAAGGGAAGCTTATGGGATTTAGCAAGTGAACAAGAATTGCAATGATTATGATCTTGGAATTTAAACCCTAGTTGTGCTAATAAGGACTTGGTAACTTGAACAGATGGATGACCAAGACGACAATGCCATTGATGAGGGGTGACTTTGACCATGTTGACCACGGGTGACTTGGACGCTGGGATGGAGTACAAACCACGCTCACAGGGGCCCTTGAATGGCACTTGATTAGTACGGTTGTCCCGAATCGTAAAATCCTTGGATGTGAAAAGGAGAGAACAGTTATTATCTTTGGTAAATTGGTGGACAGAAAGAAGATGGGAATTAATATTAGGTGAGTGGAGCAGATTAGGTAAGTGGAAGGTATGATGGGAGGTGGTTAAAATACCTGATCCTGTGTGATTAATGGGGTAAGTATTACCTCCCGCAGTAGTTATAGAGTTGGTGCCTTGATATGGTGAAGAAGACTGCAGACGAGATAAATGAGAAGTCACATGAGCATTTGCCCCTGTATCCAAATGCCAGTTTGAATTGATGCCAGTGGACTGAGTGGTGTAGTATGCCTGGGATGGACCAGAGTAGGACTCATCAAAGCGGTGTCAACAATCCCAGACCGCGTGACCCGGCTTTCCACACAGCTGACAAGTGACGGAACCAGGCCGTGGCCCCCCTCTACCACGGTGATCATCCCGCTGGTGACCGGGAGGACGGCTTCCCCTGCCGCCGTATATACCCCCGCCTCGAGAACTGCCCCTTCCGCGGTAACCACCGCGTCCCCGGCTGCGAAAATTACCCTAGCCAGAATTTGTGAAAAGGGCGTTGTGAATTTCCGAAGAAGATGACGAGGCAGAACCTGTGGTTTGTAATTATTTCTCAAGATTGACATTGAGTTCCTCTGATAGAAGCCAGGCCAAGACTTGATTCAAATTGACATTCCCAATATTGGTTCGAATGTTCTGTTTCAGAGAACTATAATCCGTTGGCAGTCCACGGAGTATGCAGAGTATGACGTCTTGGTCCGAGATATGTTCATGAACCAGAGTAAGGGAGGAAACAATATTCAAGAGATTGTCAAGATAAGTTTGCATGGAATCACTCCCTTTTTGAAGACTGTGGAGGCGTTCTTTCAACTGGAAAATATGGGTGCGAGATAGAGAATTATACCGTTGCTCAAGGTGAGTCCATATAGCTGCAGACGTGGGAAGAGCATGGATGTGTGTTTGAACAGTGGGGGAGACGATGGCCAATAAACATGCACGGATCTGGACATCAACGACCATCCAAGAATGAGGGAGGGAGGCGCCGGTTATCCTTCATAATCAGAGGATCTTCCTTGCCCGAAGCAGTGGCTTTTCCGTCAAGAATGAGGGAGGGAGGCGCCGGTTCTGTACCATCAACATAACCAAGGAGATGGTGAGCCATGAGATTGGCTCTAATGGTGGCCGACCAAGAGGAATAGTTCGAATCATCAAGCTTCGTCGGTGTGAGAGATTGAAGATTCCGGACAAACAGCTTGAGACCAGTAGGGAGTTTATCCATAGGATCGGTGGATGGCGAAGACATGGTGATGGATAGGGAGAAGCTGCGGTGGAAGGGCAGGAAGAATCGGCAGAGGGTAGAAACCCTAGCCGCAGGTTTTTTTCTTCTTTTCTTGCGTTAATGAACAAAAAAGAAGAGCGGATCTTTCAGCTCCGATACCATGTTAAATTCTATGAAACCATGAATTTTACTTAAGCAATAAAGGTGAACACATGTGGGTATATATAGCTAGAGATCCTAACACAATTAGGATTCTTCTAATATGGTAACTAACTATAATACAATTCTACTATAACTAGGAACGGTCCAGTTCTAGTGACACCGGAGAACGGTGCCACTCCGGTGCCACTAGGTTTTTGGGGCACCTCCGGTGCTCCGTTCGTAAAATTGACGGTTCCTACCCCCCATAACCCACCCCCTAAACCCCCCACCCTGCCCCCACCCCTGCACCCCCACCCCAACTCCGCCGTAAGCCCCCCACAAAATGTGTGGCTATTATGCAATGCATAATAGCCACACATTTTGTGGGGGGCTTACGGCGGGGTTGGGGTGGGGTGCAGGGGTGGGGGCAGGGTGGGGGGTTTAGGGGGTGGGTTATGGGGGGCAGCAACCGTCAATTTTACGAACGGAGCACCGAAGGTGCCCCAAAAACCCAGTGGCACCGCTAGTGGCACCGTTTTCCAGTGTCACTAGAACCCCACCGAACTAGGAATATTACTATAGTGTCTAACAAAAATTATATATTTTCTAATATATTTGTGTTAAAAAAAATTCGTGTTATACTTTTTAAAGGTTCGGAGCAAACGAAGGATACGATGTGGGATCGTATCAAGGAGATGTTCTTTAAGGCGATGAACAAGTACGCCTCGTACCATACCCGGGACCAACTCACTTCCAAATGGGGCCACATCAATCGTAAATTCCAAAAGTTGCCACAGACCGATATCACTCGGTTCTGGAGGAGTGGTACGAGCGACGCCGATGTTCTTCGGCTTGCCACGGCCCGGTATCAAGACGACAGGCACCAAGGCAAGGTGCCCCTCGATCTTTGGAGAATTTTAAGATGTTCACCGAAATGGCAACAACTCAACAATTCCGACACCGGATCCTCAAAGAAAAGATCCTCTGTCGACGCTGAGATTGAGGTCGATGACACTATCGATGCGTCTGAACAAAGGTCTCTCTTCAACATTGACGATTCTGATGACAAGAACCCCATTCCACGGCCGATCGGAAGAAAGAAAGCAAAATCCATTGTCTCGGGTTCTGGAGGGTCCGGATTTGTTTCCGTTTCTTCTTGCGACAATATTGAACAAGCAATGGTTGAACAACTTCGGATGTTCAATATTTGAGAAGAAGAGAGGGCGAGAATAAAGCAAGAGAAGGAAAAGATCGAAATAATGGAAACCAACCTTGATACGTTATCGGGCTTCAAACGTATAATCTTCGAGAGAAGATAAAAAGAGATCAAAACTAAATATAATTTACCTTAGTTTTTTATTAATGTAATTTTATTATTATTGTCGCTTTAATTTTTTATATTTAATGAATGTATTTTTTTTATAATTATTGTTGCTTTAAATTCTTTTAATTTAATGAATGTAATATTTTTTGAATTATTCTTGTTTTAATATAATTAAATAATGAAATAATTAAATTTTATTAATTTAGTTTTAGAATATTTTTATTAAAAAATGTAAAAAGTGAAGGTCTGAAGCCCTTGTTTGAAGCCCCGGGGGTTCAAACCCATTTCCAGTGAATCTGTAAGATAAGTTAAAGCTGACGTGACAGAGAAAAAAAGTTTGAAGCCCCGGGACTTCATACGTATTTCCAGTGCCCTAATTACCAAATAACTCGTGTAAGAATTAAAAAGATCTTGTTTGTCTACATGTTCTACGAGTATGTTTTAGTCCAAGTAATTTTTTTGAAAAATGTGTGAAATATTACTCCGTATCTCTTTTAAAATCATTTTATTTCGAATTAATAGAGAAATAAATAGTAAATATTACACCGTTCAAAAGTACATAAAAAATCTACAAAACAAGATGTGACACGTATATTTTATTTTATCGAATAGTCGGTCAAAATGAGTAAACAAACAAAAATTATCAAGAAAAGTGAATATTAAGATCTTGTTCTTTTGGGTAGGAAAAATTCACTTCTAACTTATACCAATTCCTTCCAGTTTCTTACAACAACAAATTAAAAATGTCTTTATATATGATTAATATAAAATGTTATTATATATCAAAAATTTTAAGATATTACATCAAACGCATACAATGATGAATTCTTTTTTATCCAAAAATAAAATTAAGTGATTTTTAAACACTTAAATTTTTCTAATACTTTCCAATTTCTTTCAAACATTCAACTCAAAAATTTCAACTCAAAAGAACAACAGGACCACCATGTCCATGATTAAAACAAATTAAAGTACTCCCTCCGTCCCAAAATATAAGCAACACTCCACTATTTAAAAATCACGGAAACTTTTATTTATTTTTGCATTTTCATTGATTATTTGATAGAATAAAATATTCTTGTCACCACTTGTTTTGTAGAATTTTTGACGTAGTTTTTAAGTATGTAAGTTTTATTTTTCATTTGTACATCATTCTTTAAATAAAATAAATTGAAAAAGTTCAAAAAAGGAAATAGGGAGTGTACAACAAAATGATTATCACAGTTCTGATGGAGCAGAACAAGAATCACGTGGAAATGTCTGATGCGTGTTTGGGTGGAATTTGGAAAGACCAATAAACTAAAGTGAGAATTGAGTTTGAATTTATTTATTGAAAGAAAATGGAGAAATCAATTTCGGTGTACTACTTACTCCCTCCGTCCTAAAACTTTTTTCCCAAAACACTATTCCAACTTCACAGGAATTTATATTTATTTGTGTTTTTTGATGGCCTATATGATAAAATAAAATATTCTTGTAACCACTTGTTTTGTTGAACTTTTGATGTAGTTTTTAAATATGTATGTTTTATTTTTTATTTTTATACCAATATTTAAATAAAATAGATTGAAAAAACTTGGGATTTTTCTTCGTTTTGCGCAACGGGAAGAAAGTTTTAGGACGGAGGGAGTATTATTTTATAGTACTACATCCGTTTCTTAAAAGAGTTCCTCTTTTGACTTTGGAGGAAAATAAGGAAGTGTTAAATTGTAGTTGACTTTCCAATTTTGCCCTTGATGTGATGGGTAAACGTAAGATGTGATAGTTTAGTTGTTAGTGAAAAAGTATGATGTGATAGGTAGGGTATGAAAAAGTATGGGTAAAAGTGGTTTTTTTTTAGAAAGTGAGAAAAGTTTTAAAAAGAAAAAAAATGAAAGAGAAAGGGTTTTAAGAAAGGGATGGAGTAATTGCTTGCCACCTCAACATATTGTTATTATTTCACATTATTCATTATGTTCGAACTTAATCTTCTTATTTAATTTTTTTCGGCCCGGTTCTAGTGACACCGGAGAACGGTGCCACTAGCGATGTCACTGCATTTTTTAGACACTTCTGGTGCTCCGTTCGTAAAATTGTTGGTTCATACCTCCCTAACACACCCCCTAAAACCCCCACCCCTGCACCCCCACCCCAACCACGCCGTAAGCCCCCACAAAATGTATGGCTATTATGCAATGCATAATAGCCACACAATTTGTGGGGGCTTACGGCGGGGTTGGGGTGGGGTGCAGGGGTGGGGGTATGGTGGGGGATTTAGGGGGTGGGTTAAGGGGTAGGAACCGTCAATTTTACGAATGGAGCACCGAAAGTGCTCCAAAAACGCAGTGGCACCATTCTCCGGTGTCACTAGAACCGGACCGAATTTTTTTACAATTTATAATATTTCCCTTCGATCATTCATACTCCGTATTGATATTCATACATAGAAATATATTTTATATAAAATTAGTATTTCAAAATTACACTTCAAAAAAAATTATTGATATTATATTTTTATCGAAATACTCCGTACAATTTTTTTCCACACAAATCGAAGTCAAAATTTATAAATTTAGAAAAAAAAGTCAAAAGGAAAAACTAAATCTGCACGGAAAAATATTTTTTAGAGTGAAGTCTGAAACTTGTATATGCTTATATTATACATTGATTTTCTACAAAATTTATTTATAAGTATAATTAACCATTAAAATGTTCAACAATATAAATATTATAGAGTAGTTACTAAAATTATAAAAATAATACGGAAGATATTTTTTATAAATACAGAATATAAAGTGAACATATAAATTACATAAAAGCACACAAACGTTTTGGGTTTTTAATGTTTAACATAAATTGCATAAAATAAAAGCATAAAATTGCATAACGTTTTACCATAAAATTTTAACATAAATTGTGTAAAATTGCACAACGTTTTTTAAGATAACATTTCTAAATTATAATTTGTAATATTTTCTTTTTTTTACATGTTTTGTTTCTAAAATGTTTTTCATTTTTTTAATGCTTTTTTATTTTTTAAAAAATAATTGTTACTCCCTTGGGTTGGGAAATATCTTCCCATTACGTGTTACGAGGGCTTGACCGACTTTATTTTCAATTCAATTTATTTGAAGGAGAAGACTAAACTAGGAAAAAAAGATAGAAAATATATCAAAATAGGAATTCTATTATTTTTATTTCTAAAATAAGATTTACAATGCAAATACAATGTCAATCATGTCAATACATAATACCAAAATGTATTGTTAAATGCATATGTAAAGTGTTAGAGTATCACAATGCAAACTCTTAAATTGGTGATAAAAATATGAAACTCATATTTTGGTACTTTCTATATATTTTACTTTTATTTAGAATGATTTCTTTTTATTTGAATGTAGGTGTAAATTTTAAAATAAAACTTATAGAGTAAAAAAGTGTATGAAAAATTCTACAGAAAAAAGAGATGACATAATGTATAAGATCTTTCCCGGACTATTATTTTATGAAATTAGTAATAAAAATAAGCAAATAAAATGTGTAAGTTTGACTTTGTAAATAATGTATAAGATGTTTCCTGAACAGAGAGAGAATTGATTCCCAAAGTACTAAAAAATACTCCATTCGCCCCCCTGTATTTGTCCACTTTCATTTTTGCACACCATCCAATGCACTTTTTAAATCCATTTTATCTTGTAATTTGTATATTAAAAAATTATAAAAATTATATATTAATAATCTATATGTTAAGAAAAATCAAACAAGATCACAATGACTATATTTAGGCTTACACATTAAGAGAATTTGATGAGTCAAAGTGCTTAGATAAACAGTTTCAAAAGTCAAATGTGGACAAATAGTCAAATACAGGGAGACGGATGGAGTAGTAATTACTCCCACTGTCTTTGTCCACTTACCTTTTGGTACACCATCTAATGCACTTCTTTAATCCATTTTATCTTGTAATTTGTATATTAAAAAATTATAGAAATTATATATCAATAATCTATATGTTAAGACAAATCAAACAAGATCACACATGACTATATTTAGGCTTACACATTGAGAGAATTTGATGAGTCAAAGTGCTTAAATGAACGGTTCCAAAAGTCAAAAGTGGACAAAGACACTGAGACGGAGGTAGTATTATTGATTACACATGTCTTATTTTTATTCGATTGTTGAATTGGGAGAGTTGGAATTGAGTCCCGGATTTTAAGGTGACCCTTCTAGATTTTCCTCATTTCTTGTCTACCTCAATAGTAAAAGTAAGAAAAGAAAGTTTAATACTCCATTCAAACTCTCGCAAGACTTCCATAAAAGTGTTAAAATTGATACGAATGTTTTTATACAAATGTTATGATATACGCGGTAATTTTTAAATTGTATTTTACTATACATTTTTACTCCGTTTATATGTTAGTCAAACTTTGGCATTAAAAGTGAATCAAACAATTAAAAATGATGAAAGGAGTGCATATCAAATTTTGAAACTCCTTGGTAAGTATAGAATAATACTCGTGTTATTGTTAGTCTCAATATTTTAGAGCACTGGAAATGGTCATGAAGCCCCGAGGCTTCAAGCTCTCTCTCTCTTCCACGTTAGCTTTAACTTACACCAAAAATTCACTGGAAATGGTTTTGAAGCCCCGGGGCTTCAAACTGGGGCTTCAAACCTTCTTTTTTTACATTTTTAAATATACATCTCCTAAATTTAAATTAATAAATTTAAATTAATTTATTATTTAATTATATTGAAACACAAATAAAAAAAATAAATTCATTAAATTTAAAGAAATTGAAACGACCATAATTTAAAATTTAAAAAATTACATTCATTAAAATAAAAAAACGACAATAATAAAAAAGATACATTAATAAAAAAAACTAAGGTAAATTATATTTCACCTTGATCTCTCTTTATCTTTGCTCGTAGATCATCCGTTTGAAACCCGACAACGTAGAAAGGTCGGTTTCCATGATTTTGAATAAAAAATTACATTCATTAAATAAAAAAATTAAATTCATTATTAAAAAAACTACATTAATTAAATAAAAAAATTACATTCATGAAAAAATAAATAAAACACTTGAATAATAATTTTTTTAAAAAAAGATGATAGATAGAGAGAAATTTGTATTTGTGTTGAATTTTTTTAAAAAAATTAAATTTAATTTATAGAGAAGAAAAGAGGAAAAAAGAGGGAGAAAAAGGGAAGAAGAAGGCGTGACAATGCCTTCAAAGTGCGTCAAAACTTTGACGCAAGAAGTTTAACGCCCTTTTAACGGGGGAGGGGGGCGGTGTTTAACGCCCCCCAGGCTTCAAAATGGCCATAACGCCGAGGAGCGTTAAGGGTAGTACCAGTGCTCTTAAGGAATCAAACAATTAAAAATGATTTCTTAGTCTCAATATTTTAAGGATTGAATTGTTCTTCTGTGATCTCAAAGTCCACATATGAAATATAGATCTTCTAAGTTTTCACACTTTTCAGAGACTTTCAAGAAGATTTTTCTCTTTTTTTATAAAGAGCGAGATTTTTTTATAATATCAATGCAATAAGGTCCATAAAATAAATATAGATCTTAGAACCACGTAAGAATTGTCTTAAGGTTGATATTCAACAATAACTATTAAATTCGATAATAAAGCTAATCTACAATCAATCATATGATTTTACTTTTGTAATAATTACTTTGATGCCATTGTAAAACCTTTTTGTGAGGTAGGAGTAATAGTTTCAGCATTGTAAGGACGATATTAGACAACACTTTATTTTGATATTTATAAAGTTAATCTAAATCATTAGAAACAATTTAAAATGTTAAAATTAATCGTAAACATTGTTTCAACAAACTAAAGCCTCGATTCATAAAAGAGAAAATGTATCAAGTATTTTGTTGAGAATAATTGAATGTCTTTTAGGAAGAGCTGCAAGAATGATATGATATTAACTCTCTCGTATTTAGCTGGGAAGAGTCACTTTTGTTATAGATCATGAGAGTATTAAATAATACCCGTAGGACAAGATAATTGAATTTAATTGAAAGATTCAATACTAGTTACATGAAAACATAATTTCATTAATGCGTAAAGTTGGCTCAATTTAACATCAACTTTACTTAAAAATATAACTATAGTATCGAAATTAAATTAATAGAGGTTTGATCAAACATTCAGTTAAATTAATTATTTAATTTAAACTTTTAAATTTAGAATCTTTATTCAAAAAAATCAATATCAAAACTAATTTGAGAACAAGACCAGATACGCAAGTTCAACCGGAGACTGGGAAACAAGACTGGTTCAACCAGAGACAGTTGGGAACAAGGGGAATCCAACTAATTACTCCGTAAAACTTTAATCCAATCGGGGTTGTTCCAGTTGACATCCAATCCGATTTTCAAAACATCGCATATCTAAGTTTCATCGAATATGTATAGTGCAATGTGTTTTCCGTTGAACCACACAGCCAACTTTGATATTTTCAACACTTTTTTCTTTGAACCAAACATAACCAATTTTGGTATCTCACAACTTTTCCATTGAATCAGGCATAACTAATTTCTACCATATAAACATGCTCAGTGCAAAAAAAGGCATTCCTCTGGGTTCAAAAAAAGGTGGGGTGGGGTGTGGGGGGGTTGGGGGTGGGGAAGAAGACATAACCAGTGCAACTTATGTTTTACCATTGCCATTTTCCAGATACGAGAGTTAACAAACTCTGTTACTAACACTCTGGTAGAGGGATCTGAGCTGGGTGTTCCATTTATCCACTGCAGTGTACTTCTTCATTCCCTTTGACCTGAATTCACATACAGTGGGAAACCAGTTAGCAGATTTAAAAAAAGGTACACACACAAAGGGCAAGATTGTAAAGACACGTACCTGTCACCACGTTCAAGGAGTCGGTTGACCTGATCGATGTGCCCTTGTATACGATTGTCCAATATTAGCGACACCAACAGCTCCTCCACATCTTTTTCAGGTACATTGAGTTCCTGCATTATTTCCCCTTGGGTATTATGACCTCGGGAAGTTAAAAGGAAAATTTGAATTTGCAATGGATGAGAAAGAACACTTCTTCAACCTTGGATATGAAAGGGATCCGAATTCGGGTGTATGGTTTGATCAGTTTGAGCAACACTTGAGTCCTCACATTCCTCAAAAGATCTTCAATGTAGTTTCGTATAAACGGATCATCCATAATTGTCCTTCTATTACTCTGAATGCATTTACAGAATCGGTATAATTGAGACGTGAGAAATAATAAGTATCAGTAATAAGTAAAATAGAGATTTTACCTTTAGAATTTTTTCAAACTCCAGGATCTCATTGCGTTGATACGCTGCTATCAAGTTTGTCATTGCCAGTATCTCAGGATCATTTTTATATCTAAAAGGACATAATGCACAAGGGTTTGTTTGGCCACATTGATAAATGGATTTCATGATGATAACTTATTTTTACAAAACTGAAAAACATATACATACGGTTTTGCTTCTTGCCCATCAAAAGGATTGACCTCAGACTGCATCAGCATATTAGCCAAAACTAAGTATCTGTTGATTCATGATGAGCAAAATAGTGTCAGAGAACATAGGATACATTCGATGTTTAATCATTGTGTTAACATTTAGAGGAAAGATGATATAAGCACACAAGGAGATTCTCCCTCTGTGCGGGTGTGTGAGAGAAGTGTGTCAACTCATTAAAACCAGGATGAACTACAATACATACTTCAGACATTGTATACGGCGATGGTTTCCAGCTTCATCATAGTTTCTAAAAGCTTCAAAGAAGTCTGTAGCTGCATCTGCCCATTGTCGCTCAGCCATATGCATTTTACCTCCACATTCACGAATGATTCCCAAAATTCGCGGGTGAGGTATTGCTGACTTGATTGAGAGTGCTCTTTGGTATAATTCCTGAGACAGACATATCATCTTCCTATCAATCTCAAATATATCAATTTCGGCATTCAGACACACCAGAACATCAGCACAGACATTCACACACATAAAATGCTAATAATAATAGTAATAATAATAATAATAACAACAATAACAATTATAATAATATTAGTAACAAAAATAATACTAATACTAAATATCAATAATTATTGTAATAAAAACAATAATACTGAATTCTTTAAAATTGCTAAGCTAACTCCTCAGGATACTAGACTCAACAAAGGAAAACCAAGCAGTGGGAATGATTTTAACCCAATAGCTTGCTGCAGCACAGTTTATAAATGTATTTCAAAAATTCTATATGCTAGGCACAAGTATAGCTTGCTTAGAATTATCAGTATGACAAAGAATGCCCTCATTCAGGGCAGAAATGGTGCATAGCATAGTTGTTACGGAGACTAGGCGAGGCCGGGCGCTAGACCACCTTCGAGAAACCTAGGCGATTAGGCACCCGCCTAGGCGTCCCTTGGGCGAGTGGGATAAGGCAATATTGATAATTTTTTAGGTACTAATGTAAACACGCATAGTATGAAATAAATAAATAAAATGATTAAATAGTACAGTGATACTAAAAAAATAAGTACCAAAATGTTGATAATATATAAATAGGGAGTATAAAAAATTCAAAGCAGCAACTCATCAAGTCAGATACCAGACGAGATGAAGAAAAAAACCTTTAGGTATAGAATCGTACGAGTAATTAGATTAATTGCAATATTCAGAATAGTTCCCAGTACAGTACCCCCACTACTCCATCTCCATAAATGAATTAAGGGCAGATACAGTACCCACAAAGTCTTGTTTCTTTTAATTTTTAGAGTAGTTCCCAGTGTACAGTACCCCTACTGCCCAATTATGTTTTCTAAAAGAAATTTAGGCGTATAAAGTATAAACTACCCGACCCACAAAGTCTTGTTCCTTTTACTTTTTAATGGGTCGTAACCCGTGAGTAGCCGGCAATTACTCGGTAAATCTTTTAATTAAGCCGACGAGAAGCAAATTCACTTCCTCACCCGACCCGCATCGCATCTTCAAAGATCGAATCGTGCCTGAATTGGACGATTATACGATTCGAATCCACGTTTTTACCATATCTTCAATTTCCGGATCTTTGCTGCGATTCAGATTGTTCCAGGTAACCTGCCGCGTTTTAATAGATGACAAGTCAAATTCTAGGAGGAAAGAGCTAGGCGACCAATCTGGTATCCCCAATATCTCGCCCAGACGCCTAGGCGTCACCTAGGCAGCGCTTAGGCTACGCCTTGATAACTATGGTGCATCGTATTAAGATCTGGCAAAAGTTATTAAGAGGCTATTCTAGAAAAAATCCTAGTCCAAGATGCCTGTTAAAAGCTGATCTCAAGAAGGCATATGCCTGTTATTGGATGAATTAGTTGAGATGCTCCAGGGATTAATTATGCTTTCCAAATGAGTTCAGAAAATGTATATGGGAATGTGTAACAAATGTCAGATACCTTATGTATCAATGGGGAAGAGTTATATCAAGGGAGGAAGAGGTTTGAGACAGAGAGACCCTTTGTCACCTCTGTTGTTCGTAATTCTGGAGTATCTTACAAGAAAGACTACCACACATACAAATCAGAATCAATTTCAGTATCATCCTAAGGGATGCACTGGATGCATATCCTAAGACTATAAGGCTTCAGATTAACAGAAAAAAGTCATCTATCTATGTTGGAGTTATCAGCGATGATAAGGAGGATCATAGAAGAATCACTGGTTTTGAACATGGGAAGTTGCCTTTGAGATACTTGGGGGTACCCATCACCACCTCCAGATTAAACGTAAATAGCTGCCAAGCCCCCTAATAGACAAGATTATGTGTAAAATCCTATATTGGAACTTGAAGAGTAGACATCTTTCATATGCAGCCAGAGTTGTATTGATTAATTAAATTATGTCCTCATGAGCATATATATATTCTAGGCTTTAACTCTGATTCTGCCTCAGCGAGTAGTGAAGATGTGGGACAAGTTTGTACTTTGTAGAAACATCCTTTGGGGAGGGTCAGAAAAGCATGTCAAAAGACGAATTATTGGTTGCACGAGCGTGTGTAAACCCAAAAGAACAGGAGGCTTTGGAATAAAAAAAACTTGCAGGTATGGAGTAAATTACTCATAGCAAAGCATATTTGGGCTATTGATATGAAAAAGAAGAATATGTGGATTAAATGGGTGCACAGCTAACATTTAAAAGGGGTTTCTCTTTGGGACTACCACCTAGGAGTCCTAGGCTAGGACAAGACCCCTGCTGGTGCTGGATGAAGCTAGCAAAGAGGTATGGCTAAAGTAGTGTGTTATATGCTGTCATAGTATAGACTAGTTTATCCTAAACATCTAAAATATTGCTTTGAATGCTGCTAAGATAGGCTTGCCAAACGCAGAGCTGATTTAGATGAGAAATGTGATCAATGTCAAGGACATTATGAGACCATAGAGCACCTATTTTTTAGTGTAGTTATGCCCAGTATATATGGAAGATCAACTACAAGTGGCTGAACATTAATACAAAACCAAGAGGATTGCAGCACTGACATGGGATACTAAAGAACTATTGGGTCTGGAAGACAAGTAACAGCAAGAATTTTCAAGGGATTGGGATAGATCCTATTCAAGCTAGTAAGATCATCATTGGGGATGTTAAAGGCAGACTGAAGTGCATAGCTTTGATTAGTAAATACTTACGCAATTGGAAGCAATTTGTAATTGAGAGCTAATATGCTCGTGGATTTTTTATTTCTTGTTTGACACCAGTTGCACACACCATCTGGTGGTTTAGCAACTTGAGGGTTTTAATTTTAAAGTTTGTCTCCCTATTCAAGGAGATGGTTAATGAGAGTATCTCTTTCCTTGGTCTAATATTAATAATAGTAATAGTAATAGTAATAAGAACAACAAACAACATCAATTACATTAAGACTATAATTATAATTATAATTATAGCAACAAGGACAATAATAGTGATAATAACAATAACAACAAATGAGTAATAATAACAATAGGGTGTTGTTATATCCACCCCCATTATGGCTGCATCGACTCTATTTATGGTTAAACGGACAATTCCCTTAAAAACACATAGAAGGGATATTAGATGTTAGCCAACTTTAAAGGAAAAAATTGTCTATTTTACATAAATGGAGTTCATTTAACCATAATGCGAGTGGATATGGCAACCCCCATAACAACATTAGCAAGCAACAATAATTGAAAATGACACAAACGGGGGGCATAGATTATATTTAACCCCACTCAAATAAAGGGTACTTGGACAATTATAAGAAAAAGATTTGTGAATGTGTATCTTGTATTCTTGAGCAAAAAGAATGGCAGGGCTTGTTATGTTTTAGTTGGTTTAACAACTGAATGTGCTTTTACAGTTGACTAGGCAACACCAGTTAGGCATCACATTTTGGGTACAAATGTTGTAGAAGTAATGAAGTATATGAACATACTCCGCATGAAACAAGAAATTAAAATGGAAAGAAAGAAACATGGATTTACTAGCACTCTTGTTTGCTTTTCATGGTAACAAAATGAGAAGTATAATGCATCTAGTTAAGAACAAGCTTCTTCCATGGAATAAAAAGTTTTGCTATATCGAAGTGCTTTCACTACTTTGAAATAGTGAATGCATTGTTCCAACCTCCAAGAATATTGGCTCAACAGTTAATTGTTTAACTTGAATATTGGACAGAGCTGCATTTCTAACTAAAGTTACCAAACTAAAATGGTCCATGATCTATTTAAGTTAAAAAACATTAGTTTCCAATATTGATGATTGAGAAGATAGATAGGACATGTTATGATGTTAAAACTTATGCATGTCTAGGATTCCTAAGTGAAAATTAAGCCCTCGGCAGAACAAACAAAAACTCCCAACCTGCCTTTTTTATTGTGCCTGGTTTGACAAGCCCCAATGGTCAAGAAAGTAAAAACTGTGGTTGAAATTTATACAGAGAGAAAAACGGAAAAACAAATTGAGATGGGCCACAAAGGAAACACTCAAAACAGGAACAAAAAATGGGCCGGACGATTGGAGAGAGTAGTATTTTCGTGAAGTGTATTCCTTTTCCAGTCTAATTAATTATAAATATAGATAACACAAACAGAATAAACATTTATTACTTTCACAAAAACTGTAATGTACAAACATAAGAGAAGCAATCCTCATAAGCAAAAACACTACCTAATTTTTTTAGACTGATATCTCATATTGTGTAGACATGGCACACTCATTATTCCCCTTATACACACTAACACACCATCCATTCTCCATTATCTATCTAACAACCTTTTATGCAGGCCATTCATTCTCCATTATGTAACAACCATTTGTAATTCGCTACGCACCTATGAAGCAGTGCAAAACCCTATTGTAACAATAAGTGGAAGCAAAGGATTGTATGAAATAGAAGATACATTGACAGAAACTCAAATAATTGGAAAGGGGTGTGTTACATGCAAATATAAATTATTCTCTCTAAAAGAGGAATTGGAAAAGATCTAACAGTGTACCTTCAGCTTTTTGTTGTTCTTAGTCTCAGTGTACATTTGGATCTCAATTGCATATACCTCCAACAAGTGTGTTCCTTTCTTCTGATCATCAGAGCCATCTTCTTTTTGACAAGATTTGTGAAGCTCTTTCATGATCTAAAAAAGAAGTTATATTCAATGTGAACAATTCCATATCACACCGCATAAAAAAATCTAAAGGTCACCAGAAAAAACCTTGCTCATTCGCCCATATTCACCCATGTCAAACCATATCTTGCATAGCTTTAGATTTGTCTTGAACCACAACCTCTGCAAGACAAACAAAGAAACAGTAATTTTTAACGTCTTTAAGGAGATATGTATCCAGCTAATAAGATCAAGCTAGAGTGTGACCTCGTTCTTAGACTCTTCAAGGGCCTTCAGTGTTGTCTGGTAAAATTCTTGGAGTAGGTTGAAGTTCTGACTAGCTGATCCAGAAACAAAATCCATTATATTGTTTATACACTTTTCACTGTAATTTCGTGTCACGGCTGATTTAATATAGGTCAGCATTTCTCTATAAGCATCCATCATTTCTTTATATTTCCCCAGCTTATAGTACAGTTTAACGGTTTGTTTTAAAGCTTTAAATCCCCTGAAAAGAGAGACGAACATCAGTTAGCAAATAATGTTCTAACCATAATCATTCTTCTCCTAGAAAAAAAGTATCAGATGATTGTCTCCACTAGAAATATCACAAATCAAGTTAAGAATGTATTCCTTACCAATCAGCTTTCTCAGGCTCCATCCTAACTACTTCAGCAAAGCCCTCAAGTGCTGCTTCTGGATCTGATTCAACTAGGCCTACAAATAAAAAAGCTCAAGTGAAATGCTTAACGAATGCTAAGACTGGAAAAGGAATGTTCAGTAAAAGGGTATAGATCACACGAAAAAAACACAGCAATTTTAAATCCCAATACATCTTTTATTCTCCAACTTGTTTTCATCTATATTGTTCAAAGATTAATCATATTTTGATACAGGTAATAATAATTGTCTCAAAATAAGCAAACGACTGGGTAATAACTATGAAGTAGAATATAAGACAGGAAAGGCGGGCACATAAACAAACTCACACCATTGCCCGTGGATAGATATTAGATAGGCATTGCCAGCAGGCTCCCTGCCCCAAAAAGATTGATGTTCTAAGCTTCACTAATAAGCTACTTTGGCTGTTAAAAATGACTTGGAAGAGACTTGTTTTTACTTGAAATTTACAAACAATAATCAAAGTATCAAACAAGAGTAATCGGACGAAAACTAGAGAACACTTCACCCCTTCTTCAATAGAAGCTAAGCAAACTCAATTCATAAGAAAGAAGGAAAACCTTTGGAGTTGTAATATTGGTTCTCAATATCGACATCCTGCTCCTCTGGTTCCTCGTCTGAGTACTCGAATCCGTAATCTTCCATATCCGCATCTAAAACATAAGCCAAAAAAATTACCACACGCAGATTGGAATTTCCAACGATTAGGTCTCAAATTTCAGATCAAAAGGTGCACTCGTGAGAGAAAACAATGAAAACCAAACGTATTTTGACCGACTTACCGGAACCCATGGCTGGATTTGGAGGCTGGAAACGAAGAACGTATCAGATTGTGGAAGAAAGGAAAACGAACCAAATGGGGAAGGGGAACCAAGTTGGAACTGGGCTTAGAATCCAACATGGGCTACCAAACAGGACGGTTTCTTTCTTTCGACTTTACCATTAGCTACACACAATAATGGAGAAATTATAGAAGAAAAGTCTTTTTTAAAAAAAAAAAAAAGAGAAGAAAAGTCTTTGAAATTCTAAAATCACCTCTAAAACTCTCTACCCAATTTATCCAACGAAATATAGACACATGTAATTAGTAGAAATTATTTTCAAAAAATAGTTATTATTATTTTTGTAATAAAACAAAAACGTAAAAAGACTGTTTTATTGAAGTTTATTTTATGTAAAATAGTTGTAATTGCAAAATAAAACCAAACACGTAAAAATTATTTTTTTAATTTTAAAATAAAACCAAAAACTTGAAATCCGATAACATAAAATCAATTATTTTAAGGAGAAAGACCAAAATATTTTTAAAATATTAAAAATAACCAAAAATATGACTTTCATATTTTTATCTTCAAAATAAAAGTTAAAATGTCAATAGTATCAATATATAATACGAAAAAAATATTGTGAAATGTCTTGAAGAGAGCCTCAAATAGTAAGATATTAAGATGACAATATTTTAAGAGCATGAACAATGGCAAGACAAAAATGGAATGCCACACGGTGACATGAAACATTTTAACCAATCAAAAATAGTCCAGTCAGCGTGTGGCAAGTGAATGGAGTGGCAAGTTCTACAATGGCAAGTCATTATTTTTTATCACTTTTTTACAATTTTTTATGTTTTTTAAACATAAAAAAAATATTTTTATTATTTATTTTATTAAAAAATTATTCTACTTTTTTGTACATTTTTTTCATAAAAAATTTTAAAAAAATTTATTTAAAAAAAATAAAAAAAAGAAGGATGGAGTGTCACACGCATGCCTCACAAAGCAAGGCATTTTAGTCTTGCCATGCCATGATATGTGTGGAAGAAGCTGATGTGGCAGTGCATGGCATGCCTCTTCCTTGCCATTGCACATGCTCTAAGAGAGTCTATGAGACTCCTCGCATTCGGATGCCTAGATCCAATCAAGGTGCAAGTCGAATCATGACATATACGTTGTGCAATAGTTGTCCCAAATTTTTTTATTCATTTCTTTGTTGAACATCCTATCAAATTCAACTTAAGGGAGCATCTAAAATGACATCAGTTACTTATACACCAGGTGCTTACACCAGTTTGATATTTTTTGGTGTAACTTTAACATACTTAAACTCATGTTTTTAAAGTACTTTATTACCCCGAAATACCACGCACTCAAATTATAATTTTATTTGTTGAAAATAATCAAAATATAATTATATTTTGTCAAAAATTGTAACTAAATGATGATACACTTTTGAGTAAGAATACCTACATGACAGAAAGTCAAACAAATAACTAGCCGTTGAAAGATATCCATAAACGGATGACCACAAACATAATAATTTGTAATAGATGACCTAATATGGAGAATGTTGCAAGATTTTTTACCACACAAGTTCACATTTCTTAATTTCATGCCAATCCAAATGTGGAATATAATCTTTTTACAGGATGGATTGAATATAATTTTGAGATGGGAAGAAAGATTAAAAAATGAGTAAAATATGATCTTTATATTTTTTTCTCTAAAATACAATTTCTTTTTAAACGATTTCGTTTTGAGATAATATTGGATCTTAGGGGAGGGAGGGAGGGAGTATGTCGTTGGACGGCTGGAGGGAGCTGAGGCAATCCAAAATGGGGAGTTTGATTTTGGGGGCATGCAAGAGCAATTGAGGAAACAATGCATGTCGGAAATGAAGCATTGTGTCAAACACATAAACATATTGTTGGCGGCGGCGCCACCATCCCCTCCGCCAGCAGCCGCCGTAGCGCACTTGAAGCCACACCCAAGCCCCTGCTCCAAACACTTGGGACTGCACCCATCGCTTCCGTGTACCTTCTTGGCCAGTGACACAGTCAATGCCACAACCACCAGCATTGTTCCCAACAAAACAATCCCTTTGTATTTATTATTGTGATGAATTCCTCCCATCAGAATTATACTCCTACGTCCCAAAAAGATTTACGCGTTTTGACTAAAGTTGAAAATAAGAGAGAGATAATTTTGAGTAAAAGTATAATGTGATGTGTAGATTATTAGAAAAAAGGTATGATGTAATAGGTAGAGTTTGAAAAAGTAAAGGATAAAAGTGGTTTTTTAATAGAAATGAGTAGAAGATTGTGGGACGCAATTTTTTTTTAAATGTGTAAATCTTTTTGGGACGGATGAGTATATTTCTCCCATCATTTGTTTATCTTTTGTTTTTAATTTGTACGTGCAGTGTATTTATATTGTATATTGGTGTGTGTGTGTAATATAGGTGGTTTACTTTTGTGTACAACTTCAGTCACGTCGTACGTCTTGTAGCCTTAAAAGGAGGGAAGAATGTTAGGTCTTTCTCTTAGCTACTCTTTTGCCTCTTACAAACTTTATACTCTTTGATCATCAATTGTAAAAAAATTATTTAATTATAATATAAACCCGATATAATTGGGTTCACATTAGAATATAGTTTTGATATATCATTTTTTTAAACATTTTTATTTATTTAAATTATATTTAATTTGCGGACAAAGAGTGTCACTGTTTAACCAAAAATGTCAAAAACTCCGTTCCTAGCAACTAGCTACTGGTTTTTAATTTCATATTATAGCAAAAACTCCGATCCGTACTATATATGTATGGTGGGAAGATTGTTCTTGAGTTTAGACTTTAAAGTCTAGCTGTACCATTTGTGATAGAAGAATATTTGTACTACAACAATACAAATTAAATATTTTCCTTCCCAATTCTTTTCCTTCATTTTTTCACCGTCTATAATGCAACATTTTAAACATTAATTATCTATATCTATACAAGTAATACATAGATATATTTTCTAAAAATATTTTAAAACTAAATTTCAAAATAAATATATTTCTATTAAACTCACATCATACGGAGTAATACAATATAATTTGTTCCGCATATATTGCGGATAAAAACTTTTGAATAAAAATGTGAAATGAAAACAAACTTTCGAGAGGAATTGAATACTCCCCCGTCCGGAAATATTCTTCCCATTTGATTTTTCTTGGTCAAAGTTTGTAAACTTTGACTATGATATGTGAAAAAAATACATTGTATTACGATATAACTTTAATATGAATATATATTTATTTTGAAATATAGTTTTTCAAACATCAATTTTTTATAAAAATATATCCAGGTATAAATAAAGATATTAGTGGTCAAAGTACAATCTTGAAGACCGTAAAAAGTCAAATGTGAAGAATATTTCCGTACAATCTTGAAGACCATAAGCAATCAATGATAGACCTGTGCAAAACTGCAAAATAGACCCGGGTTGGATCTGAGTCGGGCTTGATACAAATTATTAGTCCATTTACATGGGCGGGCCTAGCCCGGCCTGGATTTGATGGACTCAACCCTTTACCCATACCCGCCCACCTTAGCGGACCGAACTGCCCACTGGGCCGCCCGAGCCGGATAAAACATCAAGAAAATTTTTTTTGCACAAAAAATTCAAAAAAAACATTGAACTTTTTCTCAATGTTTAAAATAAAATCATCAGTCACCACGTTTACATAGAAAACAGAATAGAGGTATTGTTGCATAACTAATAAACCCATCATACTGATTCATTAAAAGACTACTGATTTTTTAAGAGAGGTGAATGAATAGAATTATCATACATGAATTATAGAAAAGTTTAAAATTTATATTGGTTAGATAATTAATAATAAAGAAAATGTACTGTTGGCCCAGATGGGCTAAAAGTGGCTTCCAGATCCGCCAAAATACAATTCGGGCTTGGCCCGACTCGCCCAGATGGGTATTAAAGGGTGTTTATATCCACCCTTTTTAAAGGGAGGACTGGGCGAGCTAGACGGGCCGACCCTTGTTTGCACAGGTCTAATCAATGACTTAAAATTCTTTCACAAAACTTAATCTCGTTACGTAAGACTGGGCGTAATGATATGCCAGCCCACCCATCCTGTGTGATCCTCAGTGGCGCACCACATTCACGGGAACACCCCCTACTTTTGCTTTCAATGGTCATGTTGGACCATAATTCAAATTTTTTTTTAAAGTGTAATAGTTTCAAATTTGGAACCTACGGCCTCTCTCTTCTATTTAAGCAATCAATTCAGTTCAAACACAACCACTTCTTCATTATTATCACAATTTTTATTATATTTCTTATCAAATTTTATTTTTCTACTCACACCATGAATCCAAACAATCCTAATCGTTCGTATTTTTACAATAACTGTCCCCCCTTCAATCCAAATGATCTGAACGCCGGGATTTTGTTCGATAATTGTTATCATCCGAATTTCGAAGGATTTGTGTATTGGACTACATGCCCAAACTTCTTCTCGGGTGGCTCTCTAGGTTTAATATTTTCAATCTTTATTTCGGAGACGCAACCTCATTACATGTCGGAGATGCAACCTCCGCAGGACCAAGTTACTTATCAGCCCGAAGCGAAATCTGGGATGAAGAGAAAAGCCTCGAAGAAAAAAATGGATACGCCAGTTCTGGACGGCAACTTTTGAATCGGTTCTTTGGAAACAACTAATTCAAAAAGTGCCTCCTAAAGCTGGAGTCAGTTCTGGAAGACACCTTTTGAATCGGGTGTTTGGAAACAATTGATTCAAAAAGTGTCTTTTCTAGAACTGGCACCAATTCTGGGAGGTACCTTTTGAATTGGTTGTTTGGAAACGGTTTGGCACCAAGACTCGAAAAGACTACACGTGCACTTGAGAGGGTGTGTGTTAGAATATAAAAAATGTATCCTGACCACAACCACAAGCTTGGACATTTAGTTGAGTTGGTTCCTTGAATGAAATCGATTACTTATTTCAACTCAAAAACTGATACTACTTTTCACTTCAACTTCCGATGTGGGATAGACTCTATCACATCCCCTCAAGTGGATAACCAGACCATTTTGAATCTAATCGGTTGACCACTTGCAAATAATTCCATTTCCTTTATTTTTTGAGCGCCAACACCTAGAGGACTA